TGTCCTTTTCATTTTCTATGTTAGAAAGTGTTTTGTTTTATAAGTAAAAGGGGGGGGGGTTGTTTGTTGTTTTGGCCTTGGAGACCCTGAGGCTTTAAGCTTCCCTGTTTTGCTGTTTGTTTTTTTTTTGTGACCCCTGCAAATTGTAAATAAATCATATTTTCCTGCTGACATCATCTTTTAGTTTACTGACTTTTGTGTTACACCCAGTGTCAGAATTTACCCTTTAGTGTTCTTAAGGGTGGGGGTTGTAACAGTGCTCAAATCACTCTTTCATCTATTGTTCTGACACACAGTTAGTAGGACTGTGTGTCATAAACAGTATATAACGGCTGAAATAATATCTGATTAAATAAGATATTTTACCACCCCTACAGAGGAGGGCAATAAACATCTTAAAGTATCAGAAACATAAATTCCCAGCGGGCTGGGAATAGAATTTAACTATAGAATCACAACACTGTTTTCAAGCAAAAGCTCTCCTGGTTTATTTGATCAACATCACTAGAGATATTCTGCTATAAAATCAGAAGTGAAAAATAAAATAGCAATGCTCATCTTTCATAAAATAAAAAATCTAACGTTTCATGTTAAGTTGGTTGGAATTGAGGTGGAGTGAACTCAATCAGCTCTTCCTACACAATATATGCTACCACTTAGGGGAATACAAATTCTTTCGGGGGTAAATACCTTGGCCCAACACTGGAAGTATTACTAGAGTCTCTGTTAGCTGGGCTAGCTCCAAGTACTTAAAGTCAGTTCTCTTTGTTGTTAATGCATGGGCGATCACTGAAACATGAACTCACCACTATACTGCAAATTCCTGGTTGAAATAATACCAGTAGTAGCAAAACAAGATGTAGCGATGATATTTATATTAAGACTATCAAGATGAAAGTATGAAAGCATTTCTCAACAACATTTTTGTATTGTCCCTTGTCAAGCTACAAAAGCTCAGCCTATCTTACTGTCTCACTCTTTTGCTCCTCCCACTAAATGTATTGACTGATGCACCTGCAATTACACACCCAACTACTTATATTTTTTTTTTCTTATTGTTAAGAACGCAACAGTAACAAAATACACTCATATTTATAAGTACTGATAGATTACAGATACCTTTTAGTGCCTCATTTATAGGTATTCTAAATAATCAGCAACATAAATTAAAAAAATTTATATATTAAATGAAATTGAATAGTAACAGCTGATAGCGATGCCAAGTGGTGATATATTGAGCAACCCTAGTATGTCCACACTTTTAAAAAGGATGACTATCTTTTGTTATGTCTCTCTCTGTCTGTGTCTCTAGAGCTGTATTAAGAAAAAATATGGAAAAAACTGGTACAAATACAAACCAAACTGTGCACATTACGATTCCCATATAGATGGATGGATAGTTTTCCTTAAATTATATCAGTGATTATCATCCTCCTTCACAAGCAACGGAATCTAATTTAAAGTTTTGTCCCACACATATCTTTGACAGACAAAGTCAGGGTTTTAAAGATTTTATTCAAAAACATTCAATCACTGATTTTTACTTTATTTTTTGGGCTCTGAGTGTCATAGGTTTCTTATATTTTAATTATAAATTTCTCTCAACTTTGATTCTAGCTCTGCAGCTGTCTCTGAAATTGGCAAGTACAACTATTTCTGATTCTTGCTGTGTTACAAAAGACAAAATAATTAAAATAGAAAAAAAGACTAGGCTTTGCTGAAAAACACATGAAATTAAGATATCTACCAATATAATGATGCCAGAGAAAGTAATTTTCAAGTCATCCCTGGATGACTTTAAAATCTCAGCAAATTGCAATATCTAGACTGTAGGTTATGGTCCCCTGAGGAGCCGAACTGAATTGCTTTGTTTAGACTAGTAAATAAGAACAAATTTAAAAGCAATGTTTGTCAGAATTTTTGCATTATAATACTAACCTGCCTAGTAAAGCCACTCTGTTGCCCTTGATGTATTACCTGCTCCTCATCACTACTCATCTGATCAACCTGCTTCTGCTTCTATTTGAATTCCTTCGTCCCATCCATCAATGCCAGATTATTCTTGAGCCTCTGGTGTTCAGAGTTCTCTAGCGTTTCTTTTGTGTTCTGTGTGCCTGATCCGGATCTGTCCTGTATTTGGCTATTTGAGCCTGCCTGTCCCTGTCTGAACTGTTTTCCTGGTCTGTCTTTGGACTCCTGTTGGATTCTTCTGTGGACTGAACCTGGATCTGCCTCTTGACTTTGCCCTGGATTATCCTGCCTTCCTTTGTCAGCTTGGATTTGATCTCCTGTCAGCTCTGCAGCCTTCTAGGCTTCCACGTCTGGAACTCTCTGGCAGTCTCCGCTGGGTCTTCTCAGCCGAATGGCTAGGATCATCCTTGTTCTCTGGGCACGGACTGAACTGTCAAACCAGGTTAGTGACTCGTGTGTTCATGATCATCCCCCGTCAGATTATCATAGTCACTAACCTGTGTTTCTCTCCGATAGACGTTCCTGCCTCAGATGCCCTAGTCACTCCAGCCGCTGCCACTGCAGTTTGGTCCCATTATTGTCTGAATAACAGTATACGCAAACGTATTCCACTGTTTGTCTTACATGAATTCTGGGTCCTACTTTCTGAACCATTAAAATTTGGTTAGATTTTATTCACATTGAATACAGTAGTATAAGCAGGTATAATCAATGCCTGGATAAAGAGATTAAACTATAATAACATATCTTAATTACAATAACAATATTTTCTTAAAAACCTTTGGGGGAGTTTAGTATTTTAACAGTCTAGTATCCCAGTTGTAGCAGCTGTTGGAAAAATCCAAACTCATCAAGATTCCCACAGTTTGTGGTTGAATGTTTCAGAAAGCATTTTGGACCTCAAATCATATCTTTTTTAGAACCAGTGATGTATACATTTAGCCTAATGTTGTTTCAGGTGACTGATCCAGTTCATCTCAGAACGAGCAAGGTGAAGTTGTGAAAATTTATAAATAAGTAACAATATATTATATTCAGACCTGAGAGTTTCCAGGTTGCAGTTTGGACTCTTCAGTTCAGAAGACAGCAGCTTCACTCCAGAATCCTGCAGTTTGTTTTTACTCAGATCCATTTCTCTAAGATTGGAGGACTGGGAGCTGAGAACTGAGGCCAGAACTTTGCAGCTTGTCTCTGAGAGGTTACAGTCATTCAGCCTAAAGATACAGAGAGAATTGAAGAACTATGAATACAATATATATATATATATATATATA